AATAATAACGAAAATACTAGTCCCTCTGCCACGCGTAATAACGGCAGAGCCAAACCGCGATCGATAAATGTAGCATTTTACAACGCGAACGGGCTCAAAGAGCAACGCGACGAAATACGTATATTCTTACGCGACCACCAAATAGATATTTTACTAATTCAGGAGACGTTCCTGAAACCCGCGACAAGGGATCCGCACATCCCCAACTATCGGATAGTTAGAAACGACCGTGCCGGCGCCCCGGGCGGCGGCACACTAATTTACTATAAAAAAATCCCTCCACTGCGTACCGGTAGACACGCCCGCGCTCACGCATCTAGAGGCATCCGTCTGTCAGCTAGCACTAACTGGCCACTCTCCCATCACTCTAGTATCAGTCTATCTCCCGTGCAGACCAACCGCAACTATATTGCAATCCGATTTTGAGGCTCTCTTCTCCATAGGAGGAGCCACCATATTAGCTGGCGACTTCAATAGCAAGCATATCCGATGGAACTCGACACGTACCAACAGTCGAGGCACCGCACTCGACTCGCTATCCGACAGGCTCGACTTTGAAGTTGTAGCCCCAGTCGAACATACGCACTTCCCTTATATAGAGGGACAATCATCGGATGTGCTTGATATTGCAGTCGTCAAAGACATCAATCTGACCATGCGCGACCCGGAAGTGATTCACGAGCTTCACTCTGATCACCGACCAGTCCTCCTTCGGCTAGGGCCCTCAGCAATAGCCGCCCCCCAAACCAAAACAGTCATTAGCTGGCATAGAGTTAAAACCAAACTCAAAGAGTCCAATTCAATATTAGAATCGATCCCCGACCAACTGAACAACAAACAGGACACGGAAACCGCAATTCGGGCCCTCACGAGTCACGTCAACACCGTCGTCGAGCAATGCTCGAGACAGGTTCCAGCGATGGACGACCATCGCTGGGCCCTGCCAGACGATGTACAAAACTTACTGAGGCGCAAGAATGCGGCCACACGCGCCTATGATAGATATCCCACCGACTCGAATCGTAGACTGCTACGTAAATTGCAACGTGAAGTCAAAACACGTATAGCAGACTCACGAAACGAACGGTGGGACTCCACCCTAGTCTCGATAAAACCGTCCCACCAAGCCTTCTGGAAACTTCCCAAATCCCTCAAGGGCATTGCCACACCAAACATGCCACCACTAGTTCGCCCGATAGGAACGCCAGCAATGCTGGACGAAGAGAAAGCCGATGCCTAGCTGACAGTCTAGAGGCCCAATGCTCCCCCAGCTTGCTTCCGACCCACCCCGATCACCTCCGTAAGGTGAACGAAGAGGTCGAAAGGAAAGCATCGGAACCACTCCGCGATCCCGTTCCCCCGGTCACGTGCTCGGAACTCACAGAAATAATTAATTAACAAACTGCGCCCACGCAAAGCGCCTGGATCAGATGGTATCACCAATAAGGTGACCAAACTTCTCCCTACTAGCATCCTTCAGATACTAGTCCTAATTTACAACGCGGCTATAACCGAAGGCTTCTTCCCGTCCGAGTGGAAAGAAGCTGACGTAATAGGGTTCCTCAAACCCCACAAACCCGCGACCCTCCCAACCTCTTATCGTCCAATAAGTCTTCTCAAAACATTTGGGAAGATCTTTGAAAGACTTATATTAGCCCGACTGAGATCCCTTATGGACGCCAAAGGGCTCCCGTCCCGGAACAGTTTGGCTTTAGAGCCAAACATTCTTGTACCCACCAAGTGCACCGCATCACGGAGCACATACTAGTTAAACGCCAACGCGGACTCAACACCGGAGCACTCTTCTTGGACGTGGCAAAGGCCTTCGATAAAGTCTGGCACAACGGGCTCGTATACAAGTTATACGACTCGAAGTGCCCGATCGTCTCGTATGCATAATACGAGACTTCCTTAGTAATCGGACCTTTCGCTATCGCGTCGAAGGCGTGTGTTCGACAACGCATCCCGTTCGAGCCGGGGTGCCTCAAGGGTCGGTGTTGGGCCCAGTCCTTTTTACGCTCTACACCAATGACATGCCGCGAGTCAAAGATGTAGAACTTGCCCTATTTGCCGACGACACCTGTCTCTATACAGCAGGCAGAACATCTGAAATTATCCATCGACGCCTCCAAGCTGCAGCCATCATCATCGGTGACTGGTTTCGGCAATGGAGGATCGAAATCAATCCCGCCAAGAGCGCGGCCGTCCTTTTTTTTCGCATAAAAATGTAGATAAACCACCCCCCGTCAAACTCATGGATAGTCCGATACCATGGGTGAACAAAGTTAAATATTTAGGTGTCGTCCTTGACTCCCAACTAAGATTTAACCAGCACGTGACTCGGGTCAAGAACCGGGCGGCCTTCGTACTCGGTCGCCTCCATCCGCTCCTCAACAAAACGTCTAAAATGTCCCTTCGGAACAAGGTGACTCTATATAAGGCAGTAGTTCGCCCTATAATGACGTACGCGAGTCCAGCTTTCGCACACATTGCTCCGAAGCAAATTCACCGGCTTCAGGTCATCCAAAACCGATTTTTGCGCAGAGCCACGGGAGCACCCTGGTACATGCGCAATATCGACCTTCATGTCGATTTAGAGTTGCCCACCATCGCTCAATTCCTGAATCACAACACAAACCGCACTCGCCGGCGAGTGCGGCAAACATATACTAGGTTCCGCCACGTACCTGGCAGGTTCTCCCCAGTTCAAGATAGAAGCGTTGCTGGAGTTTCTTCCGCCACTTCTTCTCCCAGCGCCAACGCTTTACGAAGTGGTAGTAATGATAGCTCTAGAGATCCCCCCAGTCAGATAACAGCTACCGATCGAGCCGAGGTCCGGCCCTCTCGGGCACCCTCGAATCGGAATGCTAAACGCGTGCTGAGTGACAGCCCAAGCCGAGGTCCCCTCTCGGGGACCCTTGAGCCAGATCACTCCATGGAGCCTCCGCCAAAGCGCCCTAAGAGCTAGGCGGCCTCCCAAACCGGTGAATTAAATAGCGTGACGGCCCGAGCCAAGGTTCCTTCGGGAGCCCTCGAGCTTAGTCACCATAACGCGTAATAGTAAATACGCGAGGTTCAGGCTAGGCGCCTCGAGCGCCCGGCCACCTCAAGTCCGTCGGATCTGTGAAGGCCCCTAAGGCCAACAGTGTGGCTCATCCAGCCAAAAAAAAAAAAAAAAAAAAGGGTGCTATTTTATGACTGTAAACGGTAATTGAATGATTCTCATTAAAATTTTGAGATTAACGTGTCATTTCAAATGATTACGTCACTTGTTGCGAGAAACATAATTTCGCGATTATAAAATACACGCATTGACGTCTTTCAATTTCTAAATTTGCTTAGAATATACGAGTGCTCGTATATGGTCAAACATTCCCTGTTCATGACGATTGTAGTCCATAATTAAATTTAATGATTACAATAAAGCATCTGAAAGCCGTGAAACTAAATCAACAAGTATCTAGAATTAAAAATGTATAAAAATCTACTGAGTAATAGCTAAAATTTCTTCGTCAATATTCTGTTTGAATTAAACGTTTTTTGTTCAGTCTTGTATCTTGTATTAACTGATGTTTTTGCTTTCAGTCCCGAGACTATTAAAGCTTCATCGGACGCAGAACCGGTGGGCTAGCCAGAACCCACGGGTTTGGACCCTCCGCTATGGGTAGGGTCGCGCATGTGCTCATGCGTGCGTTTAACTACTATGGTGTGTCATCTAAGGGCCGTCGAGGTCGCCGGTTCGGACCGCGACCCCGACGGCCGTCGACTGTGCATTTAGCTAATCGGTGGCTGGGAGCGGTGAGAACCGCCCCGGAACGCGGGTGTACCTTGTGTACGCGTTTTTTTTGTTCAGTGTTATAACTTGTTCAGAACATGGCGTCCGGTTGTAATATTGAACTTTGACTATTACTCTTTGCTATTTTTAGCGACACTCGCATGATTAAGACATTTCGATTAACGCAAGTCATTAAAAATGGCATAGGCGTTTATTCTTTACAGCACCGCGATGATTTTAATTGTTGTGAAATGATTTTTTTTGGCTTTTTTGTTTTTACTGTTAGTGGTGTTCGCCTGTAAAACTTCGTCTGTATTTAATTAACTTTAATTGAAGTTTCATCTTTTTAATGTTTTATGTTATATGTGACCGTGACAAACAGACACGCTGATAAGCATGTTAACTTCTTATCTGTTGCGCTTCGGGCAAAAAAAGCTATTCGCATTGCCCATTTATAATTGTAATAAAAGAAACTACTTAATACAAATAAATGGATCGGAATAAAATAAATAGTAAAATAAATTACGGTAGCCCGGGTTAACTTTGACATCGAGACGTGTAAAAACTCACACCCGTTTCTAAAACACTGATCATCGTAGAAGTTAACTAATCAGCCGTCAAATAGCTTTTCAAATGTCATTTGAGCTGCCAAAAGGATGGTTAAACTCTTTGAGTTGATCATTCCGATCAATAAGAAGATCATGCTGACCAATTCAGAGAGTTTAAGATATTCTTTTGGCAACTCAAATGACATTTGAAAAGCTATTTGACGGCTGATTAGTTAACTTCTACGATGATCAGTGTTTCAGAAATTGGGCGTGAGTCTGTCCCGTGACCACGAACGGTGGAAAGGGTTCGAAAGTTCGGGAATTTAAAAATCAAAAATAAATCGCGATAAAATCCGTAAATCAGTTTCATTTGATCACTGCTGAACATAGGCCTCCCCCATAGACTGCCACGAAGCACGATCCCGAGCCACCTGCATCCATCGACTTCCCGCACACTTGCACAGGTCGTCACTGCATCTATTGGGTGGTCGTCCACTGCGATGGTCATTACGAGACTGCCACTCGAGAACCTTTCTTCCCCAATGGTTACTTCAACTTCAGCTTGCTAATGTTCTGAGCTATGTCGGTTGCCTTGGTTCATTTGATATGCATACAATATTCGCGTAACATTGAGATATTATATATACTTTTATTATTATTTTTCTTGTTGTCCGCAGAAAACCGCGACTCTATATCTCGTCATATTGCTGTGCATCATCGTTCTGTGCGTCCGGGATTCCGAAGCCAGACCGCCATGGCTGGCTCCTGGCAGCGGGGTCTTTACGGAATCCGCAGAGTGCCATACTGACGTAAGTATCTCTTATATTAAACACCTTTTTTAGGGTTCCGCACCCAAAGGGTAAAACGGGATCCCTATTAGTAAGACTCTGCTGTCCGTCTGTCACCAGGCTGTGTCTCATGAACCGTGATAGTTAGACAGTTGAAATTTTCACAGATTATGTATTTCTGTTTACACTATAACAAAAAATGCTAAAAAACAGAATAAATAAATATTTCAGTGGGGCTTCTATACAACGAACGTGATTTTTTTGGCTGTTTTTATAGATAATAGTACGGAACCCTTTGTGCTCGAGTCCGACTCGCACTTGGCTGGTTTTTTTGGATAATTTTTGCTATAGCTAGTCTCTGCACTTAAGATGAAACTTTAAATTGTAATTTTTTGTAGATACAGGAACAAAATTAACGGCGCTGTTGAATTCGAACCTGCGACTATGTAGCGTCTATGGATAAAATTAATTAAAATATATTTTTATTAAATCTATCCAGGAGATCATACATGGTTCCTCGCTGGTATGTTTATATATTTCAGAGTGGTGAATGATCATGCGTTTATAATAAGTAGAAAGTGGAAAATTATAAATGCAAATGCATTTACCGCCACACCTAGATATACTAAAAACCAATAAAAGTTGCATTGCCAACCTTAGCGTGATTACTCTGAACTTACGAAGATCTTCTATAATGAAAGGGTACTTCTACATTTAATATGAACAATGATACAGTGCAGAAGGCATTTTGTGATTTCACCACCATTGATTATAGTACGTACTTTCTTTATCCATAACAGAAGACCTACGAGTACTGGATAGATTACATTTAATGCTTTCAAGTTTTATTTTCGTTTGGAACTTATATATAAAAAATAGTTGCTGGCCGCGTCTGCGTAGAGGGGTGAAAATTTAGGGTTGTATGTATTTTTGTATGTTGTATCATAAAAAAATAAAAACAAAAAAAAAATATATAAAAAATAAAAAAAAATTGGGGTGGACCACCCTTAACATTTACGGGGGTGAAAAATAGATGTTCGATTCTCCAACCTTGCCGATATGCACACAAAATCGGTCGAGCCGTTTCGGAGGAGTTCAATTAGAAACACCGTGACACGAGAATTTTATATATTAGGGATATTGTGATATCTCCAATTAATATAAAGTTATTAGACTTTTTTAGAAACCACGATTTTCATTAGCACTACGTGTAACAGTAATGTTTGTTTTCTTGCCGTGGATAAGTTGTACTAGCAGTGTAGTTATAAATATAATAAGGAACGTAGACGATGTCGCGGGTATCGGCTAGTCTTTACTGAATGTTGTCCTCGCTTTCGGTCTATACACTATTAAAGCTACATCGGAAGAAGATCTCGTGGAATGGCTTGGGCTTGACACAGTGTAATGTTCTAGTACATGTTTGCTGTACTGTGTATGGACACATTAAGAACAGTGACGACATGATATAAGTAATTAAGACCTGTTATCTCCCACAAACACTAGTATATTATTGGCTGTCATCTGTTAATTACTATTGGTTCATAAAAATGTATTTGTTTGTTTCATAAGTAGTCAAGTAGCGATAAATCTGTTACAAATCTGTTAGCTTTGTGTCTTCTTTTAGGGATAATAGCGAGTGCTTTTTCATCATATTAAGGAAGGGACTTAAGTATGACCAATTTGCTCGATTCTCTATCAATGAAATTGTTAAATAAAAATGTATATGATAGTAAATAGAGTTTCAGCGGAGACACTGTTACTCGTAGTTTTTGACGGTTCTATCGTCCTATCCATAAGTTTTGCAACCTTTGATTCTTATTATATCACATCTCCGAATCCTCCAATACAATTTTCAAAATTTTATTTGTAATGATACTATTTTATTCTGTAATTTTTTTTAATTTCCTATGATCCGAGCCGAGGCTTTAAAGTATTCAGAACGCAAAATAATGGACGAAACATTAACTGATTGACAAGTTCTGCACAATTTAAAATTTATATTTAATTTTATTTTAAATTTATATAATCGTATATTTGTGAGGTATACAATTCAGGTATAATAATGAAGGTTTCTCCACAGGACGAGCTTCTAGACCTCTGCCAGAGGTGTGCTAAGCTGACCAAATCCCGGCTTGCATACCCGGCCTGCTGTTCCACTGACCTCCAGGCAAGAAAGTGGTGTTCTGACTACGTCTACTTTGGGAGGGGACAGTACGACTTTTACGTCATTTGAAGGCGCTCGCTCCAACTCCTCGACTGGCCTACCAACAAAACGGCAGCGGTTAGGTGTTTAAGAAAATTTCACCGTGTGGGCCTTCCTGATGCATTGATAGTTACTTATAGAACTCATCGTGGGTTATTTAATTGTTGGTGTGGGGCAATCATGTAGGAGATTTTTCATACGGTCCATTTGGTGCTATAATGCGCATGTTTCTTGCGCCTATAATATAAGATATATATGCAGACATACATAGTAGGATAAGAAATAGTAATTTTTCTATATAAAAGTTATCTACTAACGATAGTAGAGGGCAGGCTAACTCGGAGCCCACTTTTAAAAAGTTATTTCATTTAACGTGCTGTTAACCTGGCGATGATACGGTTGCCAGTTTACGTATAAATGTGTTAACATATGGTACGATCATTTGGGATTCCATTGTTTATTGCAATAACACAATTACTACGCAGCACAAAGAAAACTATTTTAAGACCGTTTAATTTACATGAAAATTCCAAGCTTACGATTCGAGAACGATGAAAGAAATAGTTTCTTAGTAAATGGAAATTTTATTTAACTTCATGAGGAACGAGAACTGACGAAGAATATTATATAGGTAGGTGTTAGCAATAATGATAATTCCTCATTAATGTTTATACCCCAATGGGTATAAACATTAATGAGGAATTATAATTTATAAACATTAAGGTATAGCCACGTATCAAAGTGACGGCTGTGATATTATATTGATAGTAATAATGTTCCTGATGGAAATTTTGTAATGGTTATAACTGTAATCGATTAAATAAAATTTTATTTGTATTACTTTCGTTTCATTTGCAGCTGAGAAATGAATATTCCGAGATGTTTCAGTCTCTCTTATCCTGGCATGTTTAACACAAATGTTGGCGTTAGTTTGTTCATCGTGAAATGTTTAGATATCTTGTTTCTCAATTGTTTCATCGGAGATACAATGGACGGACTAAATACCTAGTGTCATATACCAGTCAATCTCTCTCAGTGAAAAGTAAAATTGTGTGAAATGGCCTTAAAGGGCTCGATGAGCTATATTAAAATTTTTAACACACTTTCACAGGCGTCGTCTCAATGCGAATAATTTAGAATTTTGAACTAATTGATTTCTTTGTATAAATATTGGCAATCGAATAGCGGTTCACCCGATGTTATATGGTTACCGCTGCCCATGGACTTCTATAACCACGATGGAGTTGAGTCGTCATACCTTCACTCGCCAGCCGAATATTCAAATACAGTCCTAACTGCCCCCAGCCAGTGAATAATCAAGTACAGTCAACGGCCATCGGGGTCACGGTCCGTACCGAACTTCAATGGCCCGTAGGCGACACTCCTCCTGTACAGGCATTATGTGCTCTCGCCTAATTTGAAATTGCCGCCAAGTCGTGGCACAACGGAACGCAAGCGACGCGTTCACTGGCGAAATGTGTGGACCAATGGGAGAACTTCTGCTCCTATCTCGGTGATCGGCGGCCACGAACTTTCGGACGGTTAAATATAAAATATAACTGTGTGAATTTATCCATGTACGGTGTTAAATATCGGTGCATAAACTATCAATAAGTGTTATCGGAAGATGGAACTCTTCATATTGATGTCGGGACGATCGCCGCGTACATGGCTAGGCTCGGAAGGTTCAATCTACAAGTCCTATAGAATACAGTACACTACAAAAACAGAAGCGAACACCTCCCTTTGATTAACGCACGCTCCTTACAAAAGGGGATAAACTATTATGTGTTAGGGCCACGCAACAGTCTTCATTGATGCATAACTTTCAGGAACCGTATGGGTGTTCCATGTGTCCATGGGCGGCGGTTATCACTTACGATCGCGTGAACCGCCAGCCCGCTTGTCACCTTCTTACATGAAACACGTGGAAATCAATGAAATACCTTTTGAAAAATTCATAAATTATTTATTAATTCTATCAGACAATATTATAACAAGTCGCTGTACAAAATAGTCACTAATTTTAACTCCGTCCAATGTTTGGTACATGTCGGTGCGCTTCTAATGTCATTGCTTTAACTTCCCGCCTAAAAGTTTATGCACAGATAAAAAATATGTTTTGAAATTTTATAGAATTTTAAAAATTACCTTTTCATTTCGAGAGAAAGAAGACACAGAAAATAAAATAAAAAGGAATAAAGAAGAAACTTCAATCTTATGTGCAGTTTTTATACATTTATATACAAATTCAAACAAATAAATGACATTAAGAATTTTAACTTTGAAAACAATGTACGCAAATATATAATTCCGTTATTTCGGATATCCTATTTCTGAACGCTCCCGCGTCAATCGGTCCAAAGTTAAAACAATGACTGGTCGGTGGATCGCCAATTGAATTTAGTGATTTGAGCATACCACTAATACGCCTTCTCTAAAATAAAAAGTGACCGACGCGCAAAGATGTAACTAAAAGCTTGGCCTTTTGTTACACCCGAGAGATCGTCGGTTCGCGTTATAAGATTCTTGTATTTTATAATATTGACATTATACGTTAAGTAGTACATGACATTAGAAATTTTCAAATCTACAAGAGACGTCACGTTAATGTTAAATACAACAAAACAGAGGCGAATTAATGTAACGACAATAAATATATAAATTAATTACAAAGTACACTAGCTTGTGAGAATCATTAGTGGTAAGTATAAGCGGTGGATGGGTTTAGAAAAAAAAAAAACATTAAACAATACTTAAATACATAAGTTACATTCAATAGAAATTCGTTTTTCGTCGCAATATAACCAAGAAAGAAAATACAAACAAATAAATGCCAATAGTGTCGTGCCTCTAACGGCAACAGATATATCTAGAGGCAAGACTATAGATTACTCGGCGCAAGTTTTGCACCGCACAGGGCCAATATCGTGTGAGCAAATCGCCAACTTAATTTAATGAGCACTTAACTTATCTCTTTGGATAGCCCTGGGGTTTTCGTCTACTTAAGTACAATTTACGCGGATGGGAGATGTGGTGTCTGGTCGGATTCGGACTTAGCAAAGGGCAAATTTGACAAGACACATTTGACTAATTTAAAACACGCTCAAATTCTCCGCTTGGACGGAAAGATCTGAAGATCTCTTTGTTCTCTAACAGCATACGATTCTCACTAGAAGTTCGCTGTGAATGCTATCTTGCGTTTTGTGTTTCAAGTGACCGCTGCCTTCAGTAGTGATGGGTTTTAACTAAGTATCCCTAAATACCACTAGCATTTACGAAGGAAAAGAAACGACGCTTACGATTTGCTCAAAGTCGATATCAAAGGCGTCGAGGTTGAGTCGATAGAGCGCAGCAGTTCACCGGATTCTTACGGTACGCGTGGAACACAAAACGGTCGAACCCACCACCTCTTTCTCCAAATGAAGCCCAGACAAATACCCTGTTCACGGCTCGATCTGATCTTCCAACTATACTTTCCAAATATACCAAGTACAGTTCTTCAGAAAAGGTTTAGCTTTGATGATGTAGCAGTTGCTACCCGTATATTTACCATTCACAACAACACTGATTTAGTGCTTTGCAGTTATTGTGTTTCTTCTCCGTACTTTAGTACGGAAATCTGTGCCAAAAATTTAAATGTTTTTTTCTTATTGATTCGATATTTAAATGTTAAGTATTTAATTGAAAGTCAAATGTGAGAGTTTTGTTGCTCCTTTTTAAAATATATTATGCAAGGTCAGTTTACTAATACCATAGTAAAATTAAATCAAACTTGTAATGTGCAGTAGTTCTTCGTCATCGAAGCCATACCTTCACCTGGAACTGTTGTCATTGATTTCATTACAATTAGCATTTGTATAAGAAAACTACGTTTTATTTACAAGTTTCCTAACGGTAAGCTATTCTATACAATAGTCTAGTTCACTATTTTTGGGGGTTCTTTGTGTACGTCTGTCTATTCATACTTGGAGGCTCACAGACACTAATTTATTTTCATCGAGGTAAAAATACACGGTAAAGTTACAAAGAATCTTTGTGCATGCCACTGGATAGGGAAGATTAGACGGTGGTATGCCATTGTAGGTCTAAATTTGACTTTAAGTGATGAAGAAGTAACGAATGCTGTCCTCTTTTCTAATTTACGACTTATGTAATGCACCAATGTGATATGGATTAAATTATTACGTAGCGTTAAATTAATAATTATCTTTTGATTCAGTACCGATATGAGAAAAGGAGAGATCAGTTGTAACAGCAAAGTTTCACCACAACCTATTATTAATCATAACAAATAACATTAACACAAACGTTTCTGTATTAGCCTCACTATTGTGACTCAAAAATAATCGCAAGTAATATTTCTGCGATCATTACAAAGATTGTTAGTTACTCTGGATTCCTTATTTCGAAATTACTGTTACTGATTTAGAAGATTCTTCACAGAACCATTTCACAGAATTAAATGCAACTACATTTACGGATTTATCGCGTTTATTTTAGTCTGTCCCTTGACATAACGCTGTACAGAGTTCGAAACGTCGCGAAATAAATACTAAAATAAAACCGTTTAAAAACTTTTAAATTAAACGGTTTTATTTTATGTGCACTGAAAACTACAATATTGTATTGTCATCTAAATTAAATGTGTGTACCAAATTTCAGATCAATCTGACAACGGGAAGGTGCTTAAATTTCAATTTCTAATTTTGACCCAAATAAATAAACAAATTCCGTACGGGTCGAGCTAAATAAAACCGTTTAATAACAAACGCGATACATCCGTAAACAAAGTTTCATTTAGAAATCCTTCACGGTCGTGAAAAGTTAAAAATGTTATAGTTTAATATTAAAGAGTGAGGGCGTCCGTTGCTTCTGTTCGTTCGACGATCATAGCATGTCATCCGTGTTCTGTTTATCGTAGACCTCTTGCATTTTCTGTTGCTCCTTAACCTTTTTCATCTGTGCGTAGATCGAGGCTGCCTTGTAGTTGATGGGCCCGTAGTCCTTGAGGTCGACGTCTGCGTACACGAACTGGTCCTCCGGTTTGAACGGCTGCAAGCAGTGTTAACAGTTGTCTTGTATTATTCTGCCTCTGTTTGTTATGTTTCTATGTCTAAGGGTCTTGCCATTGTTGAATGATTTGTATGCTGCTGCTTTTAGTGTGAATTATTTATAATTTACGTCTATCACTACATAGTATAATACAGTCATCCCGCCGTCTGTCTGTCCCTATGTATGCTTAGATCTTTAAAATTGTGCAACGGATCTGGATGCGTTTTTTTATTACATAGAGTGATTCAAGAGGAATGTTTATATGTATATATAATACATTGCACCCGTGCGAAGCCGGGGTGGGTCATTAGTTCTGCATATATGATATAATTATTATCGTGAATGTTATAAGTCAATGGCTGTTTGCAATCAATGTATATATTTCGGAGTATGCTCTTACGACTTTGCATTTTTAGGGGTCTATACCCAAAGGGTAAAACGGTACCTTATTACTAAGGCTAAGCTAAGTCTATCCATCTGTCACCAGGCGGTATCTCATGAACCGTGATAGTTAGACAGTTGAAATTGTCGCAGAAGTTGTATTTCTCTTGCCGCTATTATAACAAATACTAAAAAAACAGAATAAACTAAAAATAAATTAAGGGTGCTCCCATAAAACAAACTCGAGGCAATCGCTAGGCAACCTTGAGAGGTAGTACCTACCAATTAGTTTATTATAGATAATGGTCGGTTTTGTTATTGCTGATATTGACGTTTAACTTAAATTAAGCTGGTTTAATTTTATTTACATACAACATATAATATGACATTTACACCGAATAACGGCATATACATATATTATCATAAATATCTAGTAGCTTCGGTAATATGTGTTAAGTGATATTATTAATATAAAGCATATAAAATTTAAAAAGATAAGCTCTAAATGAAGTCTTTAGAAATGCTACTATTATTGCCTAGGTATTTGATGTAATATTACAAAAATTTTGTAAAATACCTGAAGAATAACGCAATAAAATACGCAAATAAATTAAGATGGTTTCTATCAGAAAAAATATATTGCGGTACTTTCCATAAATTATTTGAATTGCGAGAAATGGAAAGCGTTATATGAACTGACTTATCGTAACTGACTCATAATCGATTTTAATGAAATCAGTAAACTGTTATGTAACAAACAATAAAAATGCAAACTTCATCAAAATACCGTAGTTATTAACTACTTCAAAATTTGGTCCCTTGTTTACAATAGAGACTTAAATATCCAAAAAAGATAATACTGCATCAATACCATGAAAAAGTCATACATAATATAGACCGAAGAAAAGGATTAGTTGCAAAGCTGACTAGAAGATTAACTGAGAAATAGATGCGGCAAAAGCAAACAATTCTGAGAAAACGAACACCGTTATTACCTTTATTTTAATAAATGTATGTGTCACTCTTCGCAAAGCGGCCCTAGAAAACAGAAATACAATGGTTTCACAACATTGCCAATGCATAGGCCATGCGACCTCGAAATAAGCTATACGGTCGACGATCGCTAAGTTGGTTTGATGTGGATGCCATGCTATTAAGCATTGAAGTTATGTTGGCCCTAATCGATCTGACATCATGCTCCGAAGCGTTGGAAGGAACTTAGCCACATATTACCTGACGCTTGTGAATTAATAGATATTGTTGAATGGTACCATTTTTACTGATTTCTGTTGATTTAATTTCTTTTCTTACAAACGTTTTTTCACGTTCATGGTCAGATGGTGACTATTAAAATAAAATTCAAAGCGTATGTAAAACGGTTTCTATAAACAATATGCAATATTCTCATAAATATAGAAAAATATATTATGTTTTTTAAACTACCAGAGTTTATTAAGGATATAGTAGTGATAGATTTCGCAGAACTTTTTATCAATTCTTAAGTAAATACGTCAAAGGTGAACTGTAGACACTAGTAATATTAGCTAAAGATATAATTTCAAGGGGAAATAATTTTATATATATATAACAAGCTGCCACTCACCTTTCAGACGTCGATCTCATTGAATTTGAGAGTAGCGTAATCGCTCCTCTGCAGATTGTTGCTCCTTTGGCCGCTCAACGTGTTACTCTTATGGCTATTATTAGTGTCCTTGTTAGTATCAGCACTCCCTATAGAGTAGGTGTCGTATAGATGTTTGTTACAATTTACCGTGTTTTTGAACTTAAGATTGTGATTGCCTAAAGCGAGGTCAGCGTACACAAGTTTTTTGTGCTTGGACCGGTCGTCTTTTGATCCCAGCGTGTTAAAGTTGCCGCCGCAGTTCTGTTCCGGATTGGGGTTCCGGGAGCAGTTCGACATGTAGTTACCCTTCAGCAGCTGCAAGTATGACCTCCGCTGGGACTCCTCGTGGTCCGGTTCCGGGTAGTCGGGCCTCTTGTAGTTGTCGTAAACGCCCACGTAGGACAGTTTCTCCCTCAAGCTCTCGGACTTCTTTAGGCGGTTCAGCTTTTGGTTGTGCTTTTCTCGCGTCCTGTTTAAAGTTTTAGCGCAGTACTGCGGCTCACCAGTCTGATAGATTATCGGGCCGGTAGTGTTGTTGTAGGACCTCTCCTGGTCGACCAGAATCCGTTTGTCGACTCCAATCGGTTGGAAGTAACAGAAGCTGTGGTGCTTCTGTAGGGGTATTTGAAAGTTCTTCTTGTTTTTGTCCTTTGCGTTTAGGTTAGTGAAATGTTTTTTCTTTTGCATGCATTGCTGTTGGAGTATGTTAGTGGTCTGTAAAATGAATAGATTGCGTTATTGAAGCGGTGTTACGGCTTATGCGGATGATCAAAACAAAAATGGGGATATATAAACATAGAAGAAACGAAAACATACAAAGCGTTATACCTGAGCGGTGTCACTGCTTACAACTAGGTTACACTGTACCGAATTGCTGCGCTGCAGCGAAGTCTTTCTCGGTACTGGTTTTTCGGAAAGTTTAGGTATTTGCAAAGTTTTGTTCGGTGCAATCGCTTGCTTTTTCGTCACACCCACTTTGTTGACGCCTCCTGCCTGGCCATTCAACTGGCTTACAACTGATTTTACTAAAGATGTAGACGGCAAGGTTATTGATGTGCTTGCTGCATTTCTTTTGGGTGTCGCGGCAACAATGTTAGGCCTTTTAATATCAGCTTTTGAATTCTGCTCGTTGGTAATTTTATCGTCAGAATCGCTTATATCCTTTTCTGTAGTACTTTTAGCGATTGCTAAATTGCTCTTTGTGTTACGTATTGGGAACTTCACTATCTTAGAGACATCGTCAACAGATTTGGATGTCCTAACTGGAGCGTCAACAGTATCCACTGATCTTAAATTCGAAGTGTTAATTAAGGGCATCGATAAGTTGACATATACGTGATCGGATTTAAGAGGTGAATTGAAGGGTGACAGTTTCTTTCGTGGAGCCGGTATAGGCCTGTTTGGAGAGTTTATTGACGTGTCCATGAAATTAGTCTCCTCGCAGACCTGTATAGAGTCGGTTAAGTTTTCGAACCGCTCCACTCCGCTTATATCTGACTTGACTTTGAGCAAGGAAGGATAGTTAGCGTAAATGGATTGTTCGTTGCCAGTTGGATCTCGGTCATTGTCTGAATCAGTGCTATTCCTTTTGTTGTGTATCTCGTTGAAGTTCTCTCCGTAGTTAGTGTTCGGGTAGAACCTTTCTATTTTGCGTTTCCTAATCACCCTCATGGATTGGAACTGTGGTGTTTTCTTACTGTTCCTAGTGTTCAGTGAGCTGAATTTTCGCGTATCTGTTTCCGCTATTTCCTCGTCTATCGTCGGAAACTGTTTTAGGTGGGTCGATTGCATGGGCGGTAAATAAGGATTGAGGAGCACCGTTTGGTGAAGCGGATACATTTGTTGGATTGGTGACAGCATTGGTATGCCGTAGGGTTGATATTGCGCGCTTGGTGACGTTATCGGGTAGTCGATTGCGTTTTGCACGAACGGAGGACACACCACCCGCGGAGTGAACGACGGGTTTGTTGTCAATTGCTTTTGCAAAGTCTCTATTCCTTTGGTACTTTTTTGGTTAGTGTGAACGACTCTAGGCTGAATCGCTTGAACGGGCTTTATATTCGCATGCCATACATAACATGAAAAGAAAAAAAGCGAAAGGAAATCAAAATAAATAAAAAAATCAGGCAAAACAGGTTGGAAAATGTAAGAATGTGAAGACTCATTAACATGTGCAGTCTTTTATAATAACACTAGATAACCCGGCAAAAGTTGTTTTGCCGTATAAATTATTTGCAGGGTAGAAAAAAAATGTTATAAATCTATGCTCATACCTACTGAATACATATAAAATTTCATCAAAATCGCTCATCGGGGAATTTGAAGTTCAAATCGGACTGCACATTCTTAATTTATCGTTTGAATCGGTTAAAGTTAGCCAAAAACACGAAATAATATTTTTAGTTAACAAACTTTATGTACGTTAATCTCGTCATAAAATTGTGATAACACGAATTGATTATAAAATTAGGGAAACGTTAAGTTGTTAAGAGTAATCAAGAAATGAAATATAGTGGCGCTGTTTAATATTCACCTTATTAGGTGGTTGTTGGAGGCCGTGGAACGGAAGATTCTCGTAGAGACCGGGGTTTTCCGCTCCTAGGTTTCCGTTGGGCGCATTATCTACGCCATTCGTAGGTGGGCCTGTGGATTTAAGAAGATTGACTTTATATTGAGAGGTTAAACTACAGCAACCACAATTTAAACGTATAAAGTATCGTTTCCTGTTTTTTTTTTATGTGAGAACGTGACAAACGAGCGTCGTTCTCATGTTGAGTGATAACCGCCATGGAAATGTGCTCCAACCCTACGGGGTGGAAGATTCGTTGCCACCTTTAATAAAGTGGGCTCCGGGTAATTATTTAGATATTTTTTGGAAAAGTAAACATGATTCTTTCTAAAAATGTTTTTTTTTATCTTCAGATTGGTCTAAATTTATCAAGTGACTAATAAGAGCTTAAACCGAGTAATAAAAAACGGATTTTGACCTATACTATGGGTAATTAATGCCCTTGAAATATTTCGACATTGAGGTTTATATACTTTTAAAATAAAAAAATTACAGAATGGTACAAATTTCATTTTACAATTACTAAAAGTGCAATTATAGCGGGTTTAGGTGGCGATGTTTTGAGTATTAGCAAACTGTCAAAGTTAAATTCACAGGGGAAAATTGTGTATTAGAATCAAGGATCTTCTTATTCGCGAAGGATACTTACTCTCTCCTGGTTTTTTCCTCTTTCTGGCGGCTCTCGTATTAGGGTCATTATCTGATAACACTCTAGCATTCGTCGGTGCAACCCTATCGGGCCTTTTAAACGACACGACTAAAACATGCAACAATCTATTAAAAATGCAAATCAGGAACAACAAAACGTGCTTAAGTTTGAGGTAAGCAAATACAAAACACATGAGTCATGCATGGAAAAAGCTAATGTTACTGTGTATGAAGAATTGTATGATAATACGTTGATAAAATAGCTTTATACTGCGAAAAGAGCTTTTGGTAAAATTTCTACATATTTCTACGCTTGTTTTAAATTTGGCAAATATTGATTCATAATAATTGGTTGCTTTTATAAATGCTCTTAAGTTGGCGTGTTTAGAAGTTTAGTTAAACTAAATGACCTGGTCCGATCCGAATATACTGTATATAGCAAAAGTATTCTTATAACTTTTGTTATGGGAATAATTATTAAAGTCATTAAAATTTAATTTAATTTTAATAAGCATATCTTATTATTGACGCGCTTTGGGAGTTTTGAGGCTTTGGTTTGTCCTTTATTCGGCTTTTACATTAGATCATCTAAATATTCGAATAGTACTGTCCAATTTTATTCCATCTTCTGTTTCGCTTGGAATTACGGGATTTTATCAAGATATTATCAAATATTCGTACAAAGCTGTGCATAAAGAATGCGTTATAAACAAATATCTGAGCTACCTCCTTCAGTCACAATGACATTGGGTGCTTCGCTCTGAAAGAATGATCTGATAGTCCTCTTCGGTAGACCGTAACCGGTCTTACCCAAACTCATCAAGGAAATCGCCCTCTTGTTTGACTTGTTGATTTTCTTATACTTCCCGCTATCATCGTCCGAATTATTATCGCCTATCTTTCGGAAATTTCTAATGATCCCTGTAACAACGCCCTGAGAAAGCCTTTTCGGCTTTCCAGTTTTCTTTGAATATTCCACTTTTGGCGGTGTTTTATTGCTTTCTCTCACTTGTTGATTTCTTTCTAGTAGGCCTAGATCGCTTTCTCTGTTTTCCGTCGGGTTGGCAGCATTTATGCTACGTAGTCGTGCTTGATTCTTTGGACTGAGAGTATGATTGGAATTTACGTGGACTAATACGCCCGGCTTCAATGGCCATTTGTTAGCGGTCACGACGGTTTGAGGTTTGTTCTCATCGCGTTTTGCTTCCTCCGTTGTAGTTTCAGCATCGTTTGTGTCATCGGTTCTATCGGGTTTGTTGGAGTTTATTGTTGCTTCTAATTGAGATAGACTCGCTTGCAAGTTACTTGTTACTGGGCTTCCCTTGAAGCGGTTCATCTCTAAATTGTGCGGGTAGCTTTGCGAGTCGACGAGCCGTGTTCGGTCCGACGATTTTGGGCTAAATGATAGACTGAGACGCGGCGACAAAGCGGGCAAAGCTTGCGATATTATTGATTGGGCTATAGACACTTCGTTCAGACAGCTACCATCCGGACTATATGAATACAAACATGAAAACAAACAGGACGATTAGGACATGCGATGGAAGGTTACTTAGGTGAAATAAAAATGAGAATCAACAAAACCGAGAATTAATGAAATTTGGTAAAACACAAAATATAATATATATCATCCTAAGGAATAATAAACATACATAAATACATCATATAGTTTTACATGAAATTTATGATACATACATACACAATACAATTCAACGAAGAATACAAACAAAAAATTCATATAAAGGATTCGAATTATAATATAAATAAAAACAAAACAAACTATCTAGAAGAATGCTTCCTATATTACTGTTCTTGCGTGCAGAATTAACACATATACTAAATGATTCATAACAGAACTACTAAAATTTTATTACGGAATATGGTTTAAAACTTCGATGTAGAGATTTAACGCAACAGCCAAGACAAAGCAGTAAAATATAGGTAAGCACTCTCCATATAAACTTAAAAGAAAATACAGTGGATAATAGATTATTTTGTTAGTATAATATACCTGAGGAATGGATTGTAGTCAGTCTGAGAACGTCTGGTGTTAGGGCGGTTAGGAACCTAAGCAGGAATAGACAATCATATAAAAGGCGTCACGTTAGTAAACTTCATATTTGTATAACAAAATCTATGATTTCTAAGAGAATATAAAAGGAAGTCATGCTCTGAAGCGTAATAACAAGTGTACGATCGAGGGGATGAAGTATGTGAGGTAATAAAACCGCAGCCGATGGTCCAAGCACTCAGCGATAGTTACAGGCGCAAAATCAAACACGAATCTGACGGTGGGTCTGCACCTGACATCAAAGGTGCATTGGCACTACAAGTGGTGACCGTGACGGTGGCATTGATAGCGTATGCCAAGACTCTGCTCGGACCAAAGGCGTAGCTGGAAAACGTTTTGACATCGATGGGAACACAGTAAACAAAAATATATAAACGTCAAAAGATATAATTAAATATGTTGTAGTATTTGAGATTAATTAAAAATATAAGTACGTAACTAATAAATAAATTATAAGAAATGTTATTTATTAAAGTAACTCTTTTAATACCAAAATTTTGGATATTAATATAAACATATAATTTTAAAAATGTACAAACTCGAAATTAATGATATGCATCTTATTTGTCATTAATTTCATACTGTCGTCTCGTGAAAATAGTATGATTATATAATAATATTAAGAACAAGGAATATTATTATCAAAAATATCAAAAGCATCAAAAGTATTGACGAGAAACCAGGATGAAATTAAATTAAGAACTGAATATAAATAAAAAGATCTTTTAATGTCTCAAAGCAAATAAAAATATGTTTACGTAAAATATCTAGAAACATTCTCGACAACTACACGAATTAATAGCGTTAGTTTAACAATACTCACTTCTCTCGCTCCTCAAGTTCCACAGGGTTATTGTCTATAGCCGTTTCGGTTTTTAGTTTCACGTTATTTGTTAGGCGGCATCCGGGCGAAAGGAGGAACAAACAAAATAAGTACTGTTAGTATATAGTTCAACTTGGTCACTTAAGGACACACTCTAGTGTTCCGGGCGACAGGAGGAACAAACAAAATAAGTAATGTTAATATATAATTCAACTTGGTCACTCAAGGACACACTAATGTTCCGGGCGAAAGGAGGAACAAATAAAATAAGTACTGTTAGTATATAATACAACTTGGTCACTCAAGGACATACTATTGTTCCTTGAGTTACTAGTTTCAAATTACATCACAATTTAGCCATGGATGAGGAAACATAAGTAACTAATGCCCGGTTCCCGAGGAACTTTCTTCGGCAGTTTATCTATCGTTAGCAAATTGGTTCAATAACTTACGAATGTGCTAAAAGAGATAAAATCCGTTCAAGCTTAGGTTAGCCTAACTGACCAATTAGTCCGGACCAATCGGTTCCATAACTTTCTTTGACGTTTTTTTCTAATTCATGTTATTATTAAAATAAATTATCTGTGAGACCTAAGTATTAAAATCGTTCAAAGCAAAGAAACAGCAATATTTATTTTATTTATTAATCCTGTCTTAGCTTGTTACTTCGCCTTTATAGAGGTCCTATCTGTCTTTTTGTTGTCGACTACAGATATAAAGTCCTTGGCTACTTCGACAAGAAACGACTCTCTTTCAGTAAAAATTTTCACTTCTACTTATTCACAATTCCATCATAGTTATTTTTTTGTTTACTAAATAATAGTTAAAATTAAGCAACGGTGGTCAAGATTACTAAACTGAAGTTACAATTAAAACAGCAAGGAAAATGAACAAATATCATCACGCCCAATACAAAACAAAGTCAACAACATACAGGAAAATGAGCTAGGATCTTTTGACATCTTTATTATCTAATTTACTAAAACGGCGTCTTAACTCTTAATTACCTCAAAAAAGTATTATTATGATTAAAAATAAAAAATAAATCTAATCAATTCAAAATAAATATAATTTTAGACTCCATGACTTAAAAAGACCCATCCAGCGGGAGAAAGGGCGTTGAGTATTCAGAACCGCAGTGATAGTTAACTGAAGTTTATATTATACTTAACTTTATTGAACTAATAGCTAATCAGAGTTTAACTGAGAACTTCAGAAACCGGACATAACAGAGTTATAACTAATCGATGACAAACCAAGAACTGTAGAAGTTCCTCTTGTTGAAAAACATTTAGACATTAATTAAAAAAAAAACAACGACATCCAATGCACACAAACTAGTAGAATGCGGAAACATAAAAGGTCAAAGATGTTTAATGATGACGCGTGTCCATTATATGACATATATAAGGGAATGTGACAGATGATATAGAACGTATGACACGTAAAGAGATAGCAGTCTATAGAAATGCAATTTAATTACAACAATTGGGCGTAATTTGAGTGCCTCAGTTGCGCTAGTGTCATATCTACCTCGTATTTGTATATAACGTCATTGCTGTTACAGAAGCGCTATACTAAATGTGGGTATGTTGTCTTGTTGTATTACTCACATTTGGACTTGGCCCTCATCCTGCGGCAGATGCAGATGATGATGATGCAGAGGATGACGGTCACCACCAAGATGGCGAGAGCGATACCGCCGAATAGAAGGAGCTTGTACTGATCCCTCCACCACACCTTATTACCTGGACGGTGAAACGAATTGTATTTAAAGTAATTGTTAACCTAGGAATAGTTTTCAACTACTTTTTTATGTGAGGTGGCAAGCCAGCCGGCGGTTCTGATGTTAAGTAGTGTACTTCCCGTAGGATTGCAGATGCGTTGCCACCTTTCAATAAAGTCGGCCCTTACTCACCAGGTGAAACGCAGAAGTGTAACAATCCACTTCACGCCGGTCTTCTGTGAGGTCGTGTTAATTTCCCGGACGGACCTGCCCATTCGTGCTATAGCACGAATATATATCGAACTTTTGCGTGGCCCAACCACAGTGATTTAAATTTCTAATCTACACTTGAGAAGAAATAGTAGGTTCGTAGTCTTTTTCTTATTTCTGTTTATACATTATATAAGTAATATTTTTTTGTTCTATTTTCATATTCTATTGTAGTGCTAGTTTTGTAGGTTACTGTTCTCCTTAAAGGAAGTCTTTTTTTCGATGTTGTGTTTACCTATAATTTAAATGCATATATACAATGTTAAACTTAATTTTTAAGTGCACCACATCAGAATAATAATTGTTTATTTATTCATTTAGTTGTGAAGCCTGTATAAATATATAAATAAATAAATAAATCAGAGCAATCAAGCAGGCGAGAAAAAGTCACTATAGAAACAATCATTTCAAGGCTTTCATTTGATAATCTATTTGAAAGTTTATGTAATTTTTATTTCATATAAAGTTCGAGCTCTAAGTCACTTACTGTAGGTTTCCAAGTTGGCTGCGAAGTAGAAAAGACTTATTTTATATCCGAACTACAATTGTTAAAAATAATAAATTACAATTGTTAAAAATTCAGTCCAATGGAAGCTCTGGGTTATGGAGAAACGTATCTTTGGGAGTAGAAGACGTATGAAATGACTAAACACGACCTCGAATTCCGAAGTAAATTGCATGACTAGCAAATAATGTAAATGTTATGTATAATTTACAATTCAATGTATGTGTAGCTTTAAGCTAACAGTAGCTTTTCGAATTGTAACATTATAGCGTACACCTCAACCCCTTCCCACTGGTTATATTGTTGCCTATGTAACGTGTTTTTTTTTCAATCAAAAATCTTTATTCAAATAGACGCTTGCGCGTTCTTATGAATCGTAAAATTTTACATAAAACATTATACATAGAGGTTCGTAAAGTACCACCGGTTCAGAAAGCAGTTTCTGTTGAGAAGAGACCGTCAAGAAACTCAACAGTTGCTCTTTTTCAAAAGTATCAATTTACAATATAATAAACAGGTACAATAGTCTTATTCTAGCCTACGTGAGTGTCAATAGTGTAATATGCTTTAACCATAAGTTGACTTGATTTTACGTTTAAATTGATCAAGCGGCAGACTTAATATCGACTGTGGGATTTTATTATACATGCGCACACCTTGCCCCATGAACGACCTATTTACTTTTTGTAGGCGAAACAATGTCGTAGTAAGTTTGTCCTTATTTCTAGTATTTAATTTATGTCTGTCACTATTCTTTAGGTAAAAATTAAGGTTATGACGAAAATACAAAACATTACAATAAATGTATTGAGAAGCAACAGTGATTTGCAGAAACGTCTTCTAAGCGATACGTATTTCATTAGTTCATCATTCTAGATCTCTAGCAATGCACAATTTTCGTATACCCACAGACATAAGCTTGATGATTCCATGGCGCAGTTGCCAAGGTTTTGCCTTCGGCGTCGGGGATCGTGGGTTCGATCCCCACACGGGACAACAATTTCTGCGACGCACAGATAGTTTTTTCGCATCTGGGTGTTAGTCCAAATGAAATTTAAGTTTCTAAAACACCCTTTCAACACAGGATGTATAATGTTATCCTAAAGTAAGATCAATGTTTAAAAAAACAATAAACTAATACTAAAGATGGTGGGACAAGGTGTAAATGCTTATGTTAATAAACTATTCACCTTCCACGCCACGCTCGCAGGGTTCGGAGACGCCTACGGAGTTGTTTGCGTGGCATATGTAAGTCCGGTAGAGGGAGACGCCGTCGCTCAGCCTTAGGAAGCTCTGCAAGCCCGACTGCCAAATCTTCTCGTCTGTCAGACTGTCGTTGTCATTCTTCAGCTTCCAGGAGAAGTTCACCTGCGTCAACAACAATATAATATCTGGTGAACTGAATACTAAAATTATGAATGCTAAAATTAATTTCAGGAATTTCACGCGACTACCGGCATTAGTAACATTTAACAGGTACATAGTACCTTATAATTGTCGCCGTGCCTACTACCTTGTGTATCCTTGATTATCATGAGTTTAAATAGTTTATTAGCTTTGGGAATGACCTTTTTTTTTTTTTAAATGCGAAAAATAAACGAGCAGACGGTTTCACCTGAATTTTACGTGAATAGGCCGCCCATGGACATCTGCTACACGAGGGTATACAATTAACAGGTACCTTTTGAAAATTGTCTCCATGCCTACTACTGTATCGTTAAAGTAGAAAGTATTTGTATACTTCCACTTACGCCGGTCTTCTGTGAGGTCGTGGTACTTACCCGGACGGGCCTGCCCATTCGTGCAACAGCCGAGGCTGCTGCGTGGCCCTACCACCGTAATGGATCCATCCCGTTTATGATCTAAAATTGGCAGTATTTGGACTATAATTGTTGTGACGTTGGTGACTTAGTTTTATGAGGGGATAAAGATTTGCCAATTTGCAAACTAAAAACTTTTACTTTCATATCTGCGTTAAAAATAATTTGAGGTTTTATCAAAATGTGTAGATGTGATTTACGGATGGGATTTTCAACAAGAAGTTACAAAGAAGTTTATCAGGTTGGAAACCATTGACAATTGATCAGCTATAGAATACTGAGAAAACGGAAAAAATCTTGAAGACCTACCTCTGAAGGATTTGCAATTGCGGTGCAAACCAACACCTGCTCTCCCCCCTTCTCGATTTGCTTTATACCGCATTCTGGTACAACTGAAATTTTAACGGAAGGAATTTTGTTAAATGAACATGTTACGAATTTTATGGCGTTTGTTGGTTGGTTTGGCTTTAATCGGATTCTAAGAGTCGCTCACTCAGTGCTGTCATCAAGTGTATTTCTTAGCAAAGTAATATTGGAATCTTAGGAAGATTTTCCCATTCTGGACTTTTATTTTTGAGGATAATAAAAAAAAAATAATAAAATGGTTTATTTAATACCACAACTATAAGATATACATATATATGATGTATAATATTACAGGATATTTATTATTGAACTCTTAAATTTTTTACTCTTTTTCGTTCTTGAATGAAGTTTGTTTGATCCATTTAAGAGAATAAAGAGAAGAAATAGGCAACACAATGTAATCTATTCAGTTCGTATATAGAGGATTATTATAGAATATTATTGTAATGTGTCTAGTGCCTTTAGGGTTTATCAATAACAATGACTTCTACATCATTCTGCCTTCGATGGAATCATTTAAAATAAAAATTAATTTTAGAGATATACACATTACAATAAGATAAGATGTACAAGACATTAGATAAGATATAGTTTACACTGCTCAAAATTTGTACAGTAAGGTACAGGCCGTTATAACAAAATATACTAAAAAACAGAATAAAACATATTAAATTAAAGTGGGGCTCTGCTACAACAGACATTTTTTTTGCCGTTTTTACAGATATTGGCACATTCATGCGCGAGTCCGACTCGCACTTGGCCGGTTTTTTAAGTAATTGTAACGTGGAAACATATCAGTGTACGTACACATGACGTCTAGATAGGCGGTCGTGTTGACCGCGCCGTGCTTGTTAAACGCCTCGCAGACGTAGTCACCGGCGTCTTTCCGCGTCACGGGGCCCAAAAGCAGGGTGTTGGTCGTGGAGAGCAGCAGTGAGGAGTTGGAGCCTTCTTTACCCTGGTTCCTAGCAGGCTGCTCCCGGCGCCAGGTGTAGCTGGGCACCGGGAAACCTCTGCGGAGAACGGGTCAGTTTATTCCAACCAGTTTATGACTCAGTGGTTGCTGACACCGACCGATAGAATATAATAGGATATACTTAACTGCACACAAGGAAATATATGGAAAGGAAGTACAGGAAACATAGTGTATTTAAAGGCTGCCTTATATTGCGTGAAGGTGGAAATTTCTTCCAGCCAACCTTAATCGATCGATCCCATTCGTCGTCAGTTCGACTGAACATAAGTCGGCGAAACATAAATCTTGGTGGGTTTGATATAATTTGGCATGGTGAGCGTTGAAGGAGTTCGGTTTTTTGATGTGAAAACTTGTCAAGCGAACAGGCGGTTCACCTGATCTTAATAAATTATCGCCTGTGGATATCTACAACACCCGAGAGCTTGCAGATGCATTGGCAACCTTTATCAAAAGTGGACCCCGGTTATCTCACCAGACGAAACGCGAAAGTACAATATTTCCACTACACATCTTGTCTTCTGTAAGGTCGTGGTATTTCGACGAGCCTGCCCATTCGTAAAACAGTAGAAGCTGTTGAGTAGCCCTAACACATTCATAAGTTATAACTTATAATTTCACTGTTATCATCATATGGTATTATATATCTGTTATCTTTGGTGCGGAGAGATTGTACCACAATTTTTATGTCTCATTGTTCCTATTCGTGTTTCTTTGGTGAAATAATTCCAATACTTACTTGGCCGAGCAGACCACTTTTTCAGGAACCTTGTTTTCTATAACCGGGACAATTTGCGGCGTAACAGTGATATTTTCTGGCTCATCTAGAAAATAGTACATTAATATTTTACTTTCATTAGTTTCACTTTTACTTTCATTAGTTTCACTTTTACTTTTTTATATTTTTTAGCTCCTAAAACAAAGAAAAACTATATGCTATTCATTATTGTATTTTTAGTGTAGTTAATTAATTATTTGAAAAGCATAAACTGTTTAGGTGTGCTGCAAATGTAATAGCTTCCATTATCTAGTTATATGAATACAGATTATTCAGTTATACTTGTAATTAAGGGAAACGATTAAGATGTACCGATCCAGATTTGATGAAAATTACTTTAGCAACGCCCAACTCCATGGTTTCACTTTGGAGGTCATTCAGAATAGACGGAAGAAAACTTAAATAAAATAATCAAATAAAATTTTAGAGCAAGATCAGATCAGATAAGAGAAGATCAAATAGATTGTAACCAGCTTGAAAAAAATGTTGTCAAAATAAGTCTATCTAGGCTACATCGAAGGCGTGTGCAACGAAAAGATTTATTACTTTCCCTTCACATAAGAGGGGATGTGTTATAAATTAAGATTGTTATTAACATAAATTAATAACAATGTTGTTGTTGAATAACATTAGTAATTTTAACTCATGTTATTAACATGAGTTAATTACTAATGTTATTCAACTTGTTGATAATATAAAAATAAAACAAATTAGAGATTAGCTTCGTCGAGAGGAGTACTCACATTCCACGGCGAACTTGGTGGTGCTGTTAACTGAGGGGCCGGCGGCGTTGCGCGACGAGCGACAAGTGTACCTAGCCACGTCAGCCGCGCGCGACAGAACGCCGCCCGCCCAAGCGGACATGTTCCAGTGCTGCCAGACACATGTACTAATCGTTTAGCAGGTCACACGTAACGCATGTGTACATGTCACACGTAGCGCATGTGAACCTGTCGCATGTGACACATGTGAACATGTCACATGTAACGCATGTGAACATGTTGTTTTCTTGACTATAAGCGAATATTAAACATATGAAATGAAACCAGTTTAAGGATTTTATCGCGTTTTTTATTCTGATTTGAAATCCCGACGTTTCGAACCCTTTCCAGCGTTCATGATCACGGGACAGACTAAGTTGTTATATGTCTTGATGTCATAGTTAAGCTCGGCTACCGTCAATTACATACAATACGTCGTCCGTCGTCGTATGGATCGACGGCACATAAGTGATACACAGTAATATTTTAGGACACATTTTTACACAACGTTTTCTAGCCCCAAACTAAGCAACGTGTGTACTAAGTACTAAATAAGTCATAAACATTATAAATGAAACTAATTTTACGGATTTATCGCGTTTATTTTTAATTTTAATTCCCGACGTTTCGAACCCTTTACAGCGTTCATGGTCACGGGACAGACTGAGGTGTTAGACGTCTGATTGTCATAGTTAACCCGGGCTACCGTCAGTTTTTGAATTATTAATTTTGTGTCCGATCTGCAGAGGGAGCTAATTGTATCTTGTCTTGCAGTAGTGGTTCGTTTGGGCCTAGATTTAATTTTATTGATGACAGGATCCCAAGCTGATGGTAGTACCCAACCTTCTTCTCTATTGAAATTAGGGTGTTTTTTAATTTCAATAGCCTCGCGAATCATCCTTGGGAGGAATCGGTGTTCTTTTGCAAGGATCTGTGGTTTGTCAAACCTGATGTAGTGGTTGGGCCTATTCAAAATGTGCTCACAAACTGCAGACTTGTTCAATCTATTGTGTTTGATGTCAGCTATATGTTCTTTCACGCGGGTTTTTATTGCTCTTTTCGTTTGACCTATGTAAGAGAGCCCACATTCACAGTCAAGTTTGTACACTCCTGGATCTTGCAGAGGGATATTACACTTGACAGATGGTAAAAACTGACTAATCTTCTTCAGCGGCTTGTAGAATGTATTAATTGAAGCCTGCTTTAAGATATAGCCAATCTTGTCGGTGACTCCTCTGACGTATGGTAGAACAGCAGGTACTCGCTCCACTGTGGCTGGTTTCACTCGGTCACTGTGACGTAGGCGCGGTGCTCGAAGCTTGTTGTCATGCAGAACTTGCTTGACATGTTGAAGCTCAGCGGCCAGGTGTTGTTTGTCACAGATCCCTTGTGCTCTCTGAAACAAAGATTTACCCACGGTAGCTAACTGGGATGGATGGTGGTGAGAATCACCGTTTAGGTATCTATTTGTATGGGTTGCCTTCCTATACACAGTGTGACTTACAGTGTTATTTGGATTGCGGATGACCAAAACATCTAAGAAAGCTAAAGAGTTATTATGCTCTAATTCCATAGTGAATTAGAGCATAATAACTCTTTAGCTTTCTTAGATGTTTTGGTCATCCGCAATCCAAATAACACTGTAAGTCACACTGTGTATAGGAAGGCAACCCATACAAATAGATACCTAAACGGTGATTCTCACCACCATCCATCCCAGTTAGCTACCGTGGGTAAATTTGTTCAGAGAGCACAAGGGATCTGTGACAAACAACACCTGGCCGCTGAGCTTCAACATGTCAAGCAAGTTCTGCATGACAACAAGCTTCGAGCACCGCGCCTACGTCACAGTGACCGAGTGAAACCAGCCACAGTGGAGCGAGTACCTGCTGTTCTACCATACGTCAGAGGAGTCACCGACAAGATTGGCTATATCTTAAAGCAGGCTTCAATTAATACATTCTACAAGCCGCTGAAGAAGATTAGTCAGTTTTTACCATCTGTCAAGTGTAATATCCCTCTGCAAGATCCAGGAGTGTACAAACTTGACTGTGAATGTGGGCTCTCTTACATAGGTCAAACGAAAAGAGCAATAAAAACCCGCGTGAAAGAACATATAGCTGACATCAAACACAATAGATTGAACAAGTCTGCAGTTTGTGAGCACATTTTGAATAGGCCCAACCACTACATCAGGTTTGACAAACCACAGATCCTTGCAAAAGAACACCGATTCCTCCCAAGGATGATTCGCGAGGCTATTGAAATTAAAAAACACCCTAATTTCAATAGAGAAGAAGGTTGGGTACTACCATCAGCTTGGGATCCTGTCATCAATAAAATTAAATCTAGGCCCAAACGAACCACTACTGCAAGACAAGATACAATTAGCTCCCTCTGCATAGATCGGACACAAAATTAATAATTCAAAAACTGACGGTAGCCCGGTTAACTATGACAATCAGACGTCTAACACCTCAGTCTGTCCCGTGACCATGAACGCTGTAAAGGGTTCGAAACGTCGGGAATTAAAATTAAAAATAAACGCGATAAATCCGTAAAATTAGTTTCATTTATAATGTGTAATCGCGTAAATACAAGAAATTATTAAGTCATAAACATACTTAAACATACTTTTCTTTTGTAAATAAATACATATATAGACACCCAGACATTAGAAAAACACTATGTTCATCAAACAATATTTTTCCAGTAGTGGGGATCGAACCCACACCCTTTAGCGCAGAAGCAGGTACTCTTACCACTACGCCATTCGGGTCTTGATAATAATAATAATATATAGGCGTAGGGAAGTGACGCCCACCGTGTAACAGTTTGGCAGAACTTTTGCCTCGGCAGAAGTGAGGTTATGTATTTATTACATGTATTAATATTTATTTATTATATACAATGTATATTTGTATGTTTATTTTTATTTACAAATCCAACCAGACGAGAAAAAATTAATAATGAGATGAACGAGTAATTTACCTTTGTAATAGTTAAAACAGGTCTCCAAACAGTGTCCAAACATGGATACTTCTCTAATTGAAGTTGTGATGAGAGCGTTGATGACTCCGTGGCGCAGTTGCCAAGATATTGGCTTCGGCATCAGGGGTCGTGGGCTCGACACAACGGGACAACTATTTGTGTGACTCACAGATAGTTGTTTCGCATCTGCGTTTTTGTCTACGTGCAATTTATGTTTGTAAATCGTCCCTTACAACACAGTATATTGTTATCCTAAAGTAAGGGCAATGTTTAAATAGACAGTAATTTATTATTTACTCTTAGTCTACACTACTGGAAGAAGTCTTCGAGGAATGTACTCACCAAAGTCGACTCGGTGGCCTCGAAGTCGTTCCTGTTCACCTGCGGCTCTATCCTCCTCTCCACCACGTAGTATCTGTCGGTCTTCTCGGGGTCGATGACCTGGTCATCTTTCAGCCATTGCACGCTGCACAGAGGCGCGCATTCCACCGTGCACGATAGGGAGATGTTCTGTGGACGCATAGCGACGGTTCGTTGTTTACAATTAGATAAGCGTGTTTAATTATCAAGGTGGAGTGAAGTCATACGTTCCACCTCGCATTTCACTTTAAGACACAGTCTTTAGGGTTCCGTACCCGAAGGGTAAACTGGACCCTATCACTAAGACTTCGCTGCCTGTCTCTCTGTCCGTCTGTCACCAGGCTGTATCTCATGAACTGTGATAGTAAGACAGTTGAAATTTTCGCAGCTGATGTATTTATGTTGTCGCTATAATAACAAATACCTAAAAAAATTATAAGACATGATTTATTTTTGCTGTTTTTATAGATAATGGTACGGAACACGTCGTGCGCGAGTTTGTCTCGCACTTGACCAGTTTTATAGGGATAACCTTTCTTTGAATATTACAAGTGGTGATTTCAGATGAAACTCTTGATGTAGTTTTTTTTATTGAAAGCTTAGTTTCCCAAGTTAGTAATTTATAAGGAGGACAGAATGTTCTCACGACGACTGCTTGATAGTTTTATCTAAACAATCGTTTCTGTTACTTACATAGCTTTTATTTATATTTAAACATATACATATAAATATATTTAATACCTTCGTATGTAGACAGCGGTATCTACCCGAATGAATTTTAACATCCAATGCATTTCCGTTTTCATCAGAGGGATCGATGGTGAAAACGAATATTACTGCTCTAATTGCAATACATTACTATGAATAAAGAGGCAGATGTGGCTGATTTTTGATAATAAACGTTGCGATTTAAATAATAACATTCTTTCTATTTGATAGTAAAACAGGTATGACAATATGAAAAAAATCTGATCTCAAATGTAGAGCACATGGGCTCCTTTTCTTCACGCAATCTTTTGGCAGATAAAGATAAGGGAAGAAAAAAATATGTTAAGTGCCAAATCTCCAGTCTGACTTAATGTAAGATGCCGAATGCCGCAATACCTGACCATTTTGGTGAAGTTGCTTCACTTCACAGGGATTAAAGCACAACTTTGGCACAAGTATAATTTTGAAACACCTTCTCAATATAATTGAGAAACAACACTTGGCTGAATTTCGGTTGAAAGACTTAAAAACTTTCTGCCCTACTCTGTCAGCCTCGTCGACAAAGAGTGGAGAGAGTAATAGAATCACTATATTTTACAGACGAACATTAACAACAAATTGCCACAGATTAAATATAGGTACTTCATTGGAAACAGATGCAGTATATCTATCACCGTAGTTATTTAGATTAATTAAAAAAATATCACATGGTAACTGTATCAGTCTGCACAAATACGTATGTCTCCGTTCTTTTTGATGACAGGAACAATTGGCGTCCCATAATCGGAACGTTCCGATTCTATCTTGTATTAACTGCTGTAACAGATGTTAGAGAGCGACAACATCTGATGTTAACGCTTTCAGTCCCGAGACTAAAACTCCATCGAACGCAGAACCGGTGGGCTAGCCAGAACAGCCTCTACTAGGGCAGTCTTCAATTGTAAATAGCACCGTCGCTCTGCAAACGTTCTAGCTCCCGTTCTACTGGCGACCGTAGCGCAAGCGGGAGCGGACGCGCTTTAAGAAAAATGGCAGTTTAATCTTTCAAATGCAACTGTATAGGAATTTTACATGTCCCAGGCTCATACTTAAAAACATCACAAAATTCTTTTCGCAATATTTCAATTGGTTCTATACGAAAAACAAAATCTACTTCAAATATCTCGTTTTGCTTAACTCATTTTAAAAATGGACTTTCAGGAGTGGCCTTAGTATCCCCGCAGCCCAAGATCCAATACCAATGAAATTAATATAGGACTACATGGGAAGCACCGGCTTTCAAATGAAAAAAGAATCATCAAAATGGGTTCTCTCAACCGAAAGTTCAGAGGTAGCAAATCATTTTTCGAGTCGGTTGAAAAATCATTTATATTTACACCTAAAAGTCGTATCCAAGTACGATTCGTCAAAGGCGGATCATCGTTTTTAATTACGAAAAGTTGAAGATTTTCCGATCGCGCTCTGTATGTTTCTTCTGTCTGCTCTGTGTTTTTATCGGTAATTATAACTAATTACAGATAAAAACGGTGAAAACATTTTAAAACGCTGTTGTTTACTTTTTTACCCTTAAGAAAAACAGGAGTTTTTGTGAAAATCATAGCATATAAGGTATTCTACCTTCCGAAGCATAATATGAAGCTTCTCTTTCTCCTAAAATATATAGACAACACTTTGTACAATTTAGTTATGTATGTATGCATGTGCGTATCTTGTATTTATACGATTAATTTGCAGTACCTGGAGGACCTTGGAGGACTTGCTTTTTTTGGTAAATCGTGTATTTTGGAAATTACATTTAGATACAAATTACTGAGTAATAAAATATGCATAATATTTTTCGATCTTACCGACGTAATAATAAGAAAAAATGAACTGGTGTTTTTCACAAAAGAAAGAACTTTAGAAAAAGGGTAAAAAAATAACAAAATAACAAATCGCCAAAAAATAAAAAATAAAGAAAGCAATGATCTGGAATCGAAAAAAAGTAAAAAAATAAATATATAAATGATCGTGATACGAACCGTGGCCGTCTGTTTTGGGGCCGCCTGATTACCGACCGAGCTACTATAAAATTTTTTTTGCGGCGGAATTTACCGTCATATTCGAAGGATATTTTTCATTCCCTGAAAACAGGGATAAAAGGACATTTTCTAAAAATGAAACCTAGCTAGATCGATTTTTAGCCCCCGAATCTACATATACTAAATACACATACTAAATTTCATGAAAATCGCTGGAGCCGTTTCCGAGATTCCGATTATATATATACAAGAATTGCTCGTTTAAAGGATGAGAAGATAAAAAGGACATAAAAGACAAAAACATACATTAATCGTCCGAAACTTCTTTTCAATTATTATAAATAACGCATACTGGCATGATTCGATAAAAGGCAATTAATGACTTAATTAATATAAATAAATCCATTGGAACAGTTCACTGAATATGTCTTCTCCATCTATTTATAGATGAGCAATAAAGGAGTTTTATTGCAAAACTAGTTTGCTCTCTCCGGCTTCGCATGGTGAACAAATTTAGTTGAATCATCTATGCCACAAGTCGGTAAATAAAACTATGAAATACTAAAGCTAAGCGCAAATAAATAATTTTTCACATTTTATCATGCGATGAACGTCAACACTACTGCTTTCACTTCCAGCATCTATAAATGTAAAAGTTTTTAACTTAAATGCCTTAACACAAATAAGTTTTTCAATAGTTAAGATTATGTTATTATGTACAAACACACAAACTGTTTCTCATTGTAACATTAATACTGATAATGCGAAATGTAGGTCAAAACATATCTTTGACCCGAGATTAAATAGTTTTCGCACCTATGGTGGTGTGCGGGTCGAGCTGCAAACTACTAACTCGCTTTTAATCTATATTAGGGACACGATTTATCACGTCTATAAATTCTTATTAGGCAAGTAACGAGAACTAGATCTCAACCTAACTTTAGGTCAAAAAGGTGAGTTTTGTTCCAGTTGTATTTGTTGGTTTATTTTTTTGTTGGTTTGGTTGAGTTATCTCAATGCATAATACGTTCAATTTATCAATATCCGTTAAAGTTAAAATAAGTTTAAAATGTAGTCGTAGACTATTACATTTAACTACACACTACCCCCCATGCCCCATGGGGCCATTCATTGAATATACGTCGTGAGTTCATGAAGTTATGTAAAGTGAACTGTACTTTTCACTTATAGAAATAATCTATCCAATATTTATATAGTTTCAAATTTACGGTGTTAAAGTTGAAGTTTTCACTTTAAGTGTTTGATATTACTTTTCATAGGAATTTCTTCTCAAAATCCACACGAAGAAAATAGAAAAAAAAAAGAGTTGGTCCCAGTTTTCATAAATTACGCAAATAGCTACGAATATTATACACAACTTTGAAAGCAAAAAAAGATACGCAGAGTCTGAATATTCACTAGGGTAACAAATAGTAGGAGAATTTTGATCGTAGGGATATAAAGGATTAAAAACAAGAGTAAGCAGTAATACGTAACTTAAAATAGTCTAAACCGATTGATTCTGAAGTGTGCTTATTCATATTAGGATAGGGAAGACTCTAGGGCAAACGTAGAGATTTATTATCCTTTCATATTTATTTGTATGTAAAAGTCCTATCCTCACCTCTAGGTAAATGGCACCTGTGTTTGTGTATGTACGTATGTATGAATATATATGCGATTATCAAGATAGGTTTGACTCACCTGAGATCTGTATAGTGCACCGCTGTAGTGATTCATCGCGTATTTAAAGCTCGGTGGAGCTGCAAAATAAATCCATTATTAGATTGTACATTGGCAATGAATAGTGATGAGGGTTTAATTAATAATAATACAAATCTAGAAGTTTTTTTTGTCTTGCTGTCCGCACGTCTTAAAGTATAGAATGGAGGAAGAAGTTCAATAAGTAAAAGTTAAGAGATGGAACAGTTAAGTCTTTTGTCTTTTGATTACTTTTCAATTAGTGGTTGAAGTAGGAAGCAAGAGAATAACTAGGAAAATGAGGGTTTTAAAATCAAGGGTTCGCTGCATAAAATAAGGGAAGGAAGAAGTATCAGATAATTGCCCATGTTGAAGTTAATAAGAGCGGGGTTAAGAATACAAGAAGTTAGGAAATTATCAAGTAAGTAAAGATTAAGGGATGAGAATAGTTAGGCCTCTAAATATTTTCTTTTCATTACTACTCAATTAGTAACTGAAAAACGTAACAAGAGAATTACAAGGAGTATATAAGGGTTTAAAATCATTTAATGCAACACAGTTTTTTAAAACATACTTTTACTTTAGGATAACATTATCCTGTGTTGTAAGAACGTTTACCAAAAATAAATTTCACGTGGACAAACACCCGTATGCGAAACAACTATCAGTGGGTCGCACGATGGTTGTCCCGTGCGGGTATCGAACCCACGATCCCCGGCGCCGAAGCTAGTAGCTTGGCAATTGCGCCACGGATTCATCAATAAGGGGAAGAAGAATAGGAGGTCTCACCCAACACGTCGACGGTAGCGTAGGCGGGTGGGCCTTCCCCAGCCGAGTTGTTCCCCCGGCAGGAGAAGTTGGCGCGGTGGTCCAGCGTCACTGGGTCGATGGTCCAGCTTCCCGATACGATGTCGCTCACCAAGCGCCCACCACGGTGCCAGCGGAATCTGTTTAGCGCATAAGCCGACTGTACTTCCTTAATTGTGAGAAGGTGGCAAGCCCGCAGGCGGTTAACCTGACGTTAAGTGATAACCGCCGCCCATGGACATTCCAAACGTCCGGGATGCCGATGCGTCGCCACCTTTTAATAGAGTGGGCCCCGGCTATCTGAGTCACCGAATGAAACACGGTGTGGGGTCGTGGTACTTTCCTGGACGGACCTGCCTTTTCGTGCAACAGCATATATCTACCGTTGCATGACACTACCACAGTTATGTACTCGTAAATAGCCTCTTCCCCTTTTCATGTCATAAACTTGTTTTCTCCCGATGCTGTAAGAACCTACCTAGCCCATGAGATATTTTTCGGTTATATCCTGATTTATTTTTTCGCTTTATTCTTGTTCAACTTACTTCCCAAGAATGTGTCCTTCCCTTTCTTTTTAAAAAGAACCTCTCTTTATTTGGCGTTGAGAGTAAAAAGTCAAGATAATTGGCTTATTTGAACCAACTACAAAAGCGTTTAGTTTATTTGTTAACCTAAATAAAATAAATCACTCAATTATCTCTATTATCTACTATTTATTAATCTCAATTACCTAAAGTTATTATTATTTTTACTTAAGGTCTGTTTACTATGAGAAAATAGTAAAATTTAAGTCAAGCTGGACTATTCATAAAACAGACTATTCATATAACTGCATAGGTCTACCATAAGCCGATATTATATACTATGCTTACAAAGTCATCTACATTATACATATAGAGGATATGAAAAACTTGTTATTGTAGGGGTTGTGAAATATTTGTTCGTATACATAGTTGATCTCTGAACTAAAGCGTTCTAAGTTCGATGTTAAACAATACATACGTAAATGAAGTGTAAATATACCTATTAGATTCCGGTCTGCCTTTCTCTTCAACACTGCAAGTCAGCACTAAAGACTGACCCTTGATGACCCGCCATGGAGAGTACGTTAGCTTAGCGGGGCCGGGCGGATCTGCGGATATTATACAAATTGTGGAAAACGTTTGCACTTATCTCCCGACGAAACTGATGCTGATTCTTTTTCGCGAAGATTCTCAACCCATTTTCGAATTTTTTAAATCCCCTGTTATGTTTTTACGGTGCGTCTCGATACAATTCGTAGTTTCATCAAGTAATAAATATTTATTTATCTCTATAAACGTACAAAAGGAAACAGTTTTAGAAAGCAGTGGGTAAAAAAGCATACTTACAGTTGACTACTAGTTCTGTCTTCTCGCTCTCGCTGCCCCATCCCGCGTAGTTCTTTCCCTTACATGAGTAGTTCCCGTGGAAGCTTTTGGTAGTGTCCTGTAAGAGGAGCATCGAAGGGTCGACGTCGTTGCACAGGCTGTCTGTAAGAGTAACAAAATAATTTAAAAGAGTGACAAATACCATCCTATTAAGCTTATCTTAATAGTGGAAGTCGCCCAGCGAGGTATGGAGCGAGCTATGCTTGGTATTTCTGAGTACCGACATACGAGTAGCTCAGAGAATTAGCAAGCTGAAGTGGCGATTGGTCGGCCATGTAGCTCCTAGAACTGATAACGGTTGAGGAAGAAAGGTTCTCGAGTGGCAGCCTCGTACAGGACAGTGTAGGACGACCCTCGCTAGATGGAGTGACGGCCTGTGCAAATGTGCGGGAAGTCGATGGATGCAGGTGGCTCAGGATCGATCTTCGTGGCAATTGGTGGGGGAGGCCTATGTTCAGCAGTGGACTCAAACAGGCTGAAATGATGATGAATGTTAGAAGACACTAGATACGATACAACTTCAATGAACATAATAAACTAGCACACTTTTTTAAAATTTCTGTTGGATGTTTGGAGCGTTGATTTCTTATAATGGTGGCTGCATTGACGAAATCAATCGACACGTGGCCATGGATAAGCTGCATAAGATATGGAGGAATCGATTCATAACTAAGACTCGGCTATTTATATTTCTTATACTATGTTACGCGTCAAAGCCAGGGGATAGAATAGGTAGTATCAGTTACACCGATGAATCCCAACTTACCATTGGTGCCATTGCATTCTGGTAGATGTTTCAGCACCTCGCCGTCTAGGTACCAAATTACCTCGTCCAGGATTGCGGGATTCCCTGATACCACCTCACAAGTAAGAGTGACGTTCTTGTGGTCGGTTTCCAAGATGGGGCTCGCCGAGCTCATGTTTAGTCGGACCTGGGGTTTATCTGGAATAAAATAAAAGTAAACGTATCATGAAGCGTGGATTTATAGATCTAGGTTTTATTGTGCAGTCATATTAGGTTATTTTATGTAAACTTTTGGTGTGATTTAGGTAACATAAAAAATTCAAGTACACTTGAAACTTATACAAATGAATAAACTGGAACTTTTCGTTTTTAATGTCAAAACAATAGATTTATATGAACACAGATTTGAACCGGAATTTCACTGGCAGATAGCTGATATTATAAGGGCTATGACTAAGCTCATTAGGGTACCAAGCAACAACCCATAAATTGTGAATAAAATCCGATTTAATAGTTAGTTTTACTACATATATTTGAATATGTGAGAAACACTCTAGGTCTTCGAAGAATATTTTGTTGTTATCATTTTCGAAAATATGCAGGTTGCCTCACGATTTGCGTTGAACACGTGATAAGTCTGCACTTAAAAATAATAATTGCACCGGGAGATTAACTCAGGTTACTAGAATTACTAGAGATTTAGAATAATAGATAGATTTAGAATTAAAAGCGAGACTTCAGACACTGAACACACGGGTTAAAATATTTATGTTGTAATACATTTAAAGTGTCTACTTATTACGTGCTTAGCGGTGAAGGCAAACATTGTGAACAAACCAACATATTTTCGCAATAATAACAAAAAATTATACTTGGAATATATGTGAAATCCGCCGATCCCCAGTGGGGTCGCGTGGTGAACTATGCCTTGATACCCTCTGTACAGAGGAGGAGGCTTTGCCTAGCAGTGGGACATGTATAGACTGTTGCTACTACTTGCTATTGTTACTAATACATTTGAACATAAAATAATAACATGTAACCGTACGCAGATAAAGGACGTTGAGAATTTCGTCGGTGTGGCATTCAGTTTAGCTTAGTGGCTAGAGCGTCAGGGCGCGAATCGCGAAGATGCGGGTTCGATTCACACAGCGGCGAGAAACTTATCGTTATTTTTTTCTACAGATTTTAACATATAACCGTGATTATTCAGATCGGTTGGTACAAGGTACTTACATAAGATGTTGACATCGATTGTCTCGTTCGTCGTGCCGTTACCGACTGTGTTCGCGAGCAGGCAACTGTAGTTACCCATGTCCTCCCCACGCGCCTTCACTATGATGAGAGCGTGCTGGTCTGTGGTGCCGCCTTGGTAGCGGCTGTTGTTCACGTTGAGCCTTTCACCGTCTCGGTACCTAAATAGACAGTACACCGTGACAAATTGCCGTACTAATACTACATTTACTTTACAATTTTTTTATTAGACGACCCGAATGATAGTGGGAAGTGTACTTGCCTCCTGCGCCAGAGGGTGTGGGTTCGATCCATGAAAAATATTGTGTGATGAACTTAGTGTTTCTCTAATGTCTGGGTGTTATATATGTATAATATGTATTTATTTATAAAATAAAAGTATTTTTAATTATGTTTATCAGTGATCTAGTACCCATAGTACAAACGTTGCTTAGTTTGGGACTAGAGTACGTGTACAAAGGCGTCCTAAAAATAAATAGATATTTGAAAAGTTGTCAAGCGAGCAGGCGGTTTACCTGATATTATACGAATACCATCGCCCATGGCAAGCAACACTCGATGATGCGTTGACAACCTTTAAAAATGTGGGCGCCAGCTACCTCACTCACTAGACGTAACGCGAAAGTTTAATATTTCACCGGTCTCCTGTCAAGCCGTGGTACTACCCCGCACGAGCCTGCCCATTAGTGCAACAGAATTAGCTGTGGCCCTACCACAGATATATAAAAATAGTAAATTAACAACCTATAAATGTCCCACTGCTGGGCAAAGGCCTCCTCTCTCTCTAAGGAGGGTATACAAGCCTTAACTGTAGTACGTCTACGTAACAGTCTTCGCTGTTGCATGAATGGGCAGGTCCGTCTCGGAAGGTTCGATGACCCAACAGTAGACGGGGGTAGAGTGGGTATTATATATTCGGCCGATGAGTGCGGTAACTGCAGCCTACTTTTTTGAAAGGTGTCAACAACACCAGTAGGGTTGCTAGGTGGACGGCCAGTACACTTTGCCATCTTCAGTAAAAAAAGTAATCGGTGAACAACCAGTTTTTTGTGGTGCTATATTTATTTAATTAGATATATAACAAACTCAGAACCAACATATTATGTTCTTAAGGCTGTCGTATTTACTGCTGAGTGATCAATCGGTATGAGTTTCAAAGATCGTATGCAATCCCTTTCATAAAAACTTTCGTATAAAAATTATCAATCACAGAATTTATTTATGTATAACATTGCTTTATATTTTTTATTACAAATATTTTCTATTTTGTTTATTATGATTTTTTTATTCATACATTTCATTCATATCCTAATTAAAATATTATTTTTTTGGGTTTCAATCACTTAATACGTATTTACTTACCAGATAACTTCGTTGAGGGACGAAGGGTTGCTTTCGTATTCGCATTTCAGAAGGATCTTTGCACCTTCTACCACTTTTATATTCTTCGGTTCTAAGTGGACTAGCGGTGGGTCTGCGGATATTCACGGCGTTTTGTTAATGAATCTAACTAATGATTTTGTTCAAGGTCGTTTCGTACAACCTGAAAAGCTTTAGAGACTTGTATTAATATTTTTAGTGCTCGTCTCTGTACTAAAAATAAAACTTGAAATGTCTTGAATTTTCGTAGATAAATGAGGGATCGAACTTGCGTCTGAGAATGTCGACATCAATTTACAACAACACAAGATCTAACGACAGGCCCAAATGGGCTCTCGGGGCCCACAGCGGTGTTTGATCGTTGAATTATGAAGCAATTAAAATTTTGCAGAATAAACAGCAACTATATACTGCACTTTAAGTATCTCCAAAGCCATCCATGTCGCCCATTCAACGTTAATCACGGTCAGTTGTTTCATAAAAATGAAAATAGAAACAATTCATTTTCGTTCTACTCACACCAAACTTCTAACTCGCGCGTGGCGTGTATAGGATGTTCTTTCGCTTCTATCATGACGTCATTGATGGCCTCGCAAAGAAACTTGCGGCCGTTCTCAAATCGGGTCGCCTCGAAGGTCAAGTTGGACTTGGTCACGAAGGTCGAGTCGCTCTGTGAACCAGAAAATGGACATAAATAATGTATGAAATTTGTACTCGTTAAATGTGTACCAAAAATGTACTCAATGATTCATGAAGCCTACATGAACTTGCATTTTCTACCTGAACCGTGTGGCTGCATAAATTTTTCAGAATGGACGTAGTGTAATAGTGAATATTATACATGTTAAATGAAACTAGTTTACGGATTTTATCGCGTTTTCATTTTGAACTTCTGAACTCCCGACGTGTCGAACAAAGGGTTCGACACGTCGGGAGTTCAAACCAGCGTTCATGGTCACAGGACAGACTAAGTTGTTATACGTCTTGGTGTCATAGTTAACCCCGGCTACCGTCAATTATTTTGCTTATTTTTTCTTACTTAGGCTGTTCCGTGACCACTGAAATGGACAGACATCAAGGTCGCCGTCAGTGTTTGAAGCAGAACAGAGAAGAGTTATTAGAATAGAGAAGAGAGAAGAGCACCCCCAAGATGAAGATAATTTATAAATACTTGTAATAATGTCGTTGCTGGTTCAATAGAATTATTTCATCAGAAAATGAAACGGTAAAACGAGTTTGAGTTGAGAACCAATCTTCAGCTTTAAAAAATTGCTACACCATTTCATTAATTCTATTCGCTCTGTATTTTCGCAGTTTGTAATGAGATTCCACTGAAGTCTTTGTAATGTTGCACCAACAAATTGTGGGTAGACACGTAAAGTGGCTATTGTGTACAGTGAACATATAAATAACTGGCCAACGCGACTGGTTCGTTGGAACATTCGCGTAATATGCCGCCATTTCCCCTTAATTGCCCCGAAGCAATCATTTGTTGCTGTTCTTTGAAATTTAATTTGCAATTAGGCGGGCCGAGACGTTAATTGTTTTCCAGTTGCCAGAGAATAAAGTCTGGCGCAGATGTCTGAGGTCAAAGTTCAAAATTGAGACGACGGTTTAACGATTTCGAAACGTGTACAGATTATAAAGATATTATAAAATTTTGCAGCAACGTAAACTATTTAAGAAACGGTGTTGTATCATATAAGTTGCTTCCCAAAATTTTGATTATTCTGTTTTCTTTTGACGAGAGGAATAAAAGAAAAAAGACTCACCATCTCTATTTCTTTTTGCTGCTCGCAGGAACATGAAACAAATGAAAGGAAATTAGTTAAGGGCTGGTAATTATTCTTTAAATAATAGTACTATTATCGAAACGAAATCATTTTTAATACAATATAGCAATGTTTCCGTGCAAATAAATTTAATTCCGTAAAATATATAAACAGTTAATACGCCTTTTACGAATGTTCAAAGCGTTGTGAAATTGATAGTGCATTTAGACCATGATACTTCTCAGGACGAGTCTTCCCATTCGTGTTACAACTGAAGCTATTGTGAGATACTCATTTAATATATTGAATTAAGTTCGATTTTTTTATGTGAGAATGTGGCAAACGAGCTGGCGGCTCACCTGCAACACATTGTCAGCACCCGTAGGGTTGCAAATGCTTTGCCATCTTTTCATAAAGTGAGTTAACTGACTTATGAGACGAAACGCAGAAGAATAACAGTTCCACTTCACTTTGTGGTACTTCGCCAGACAAGCCTGCCCATTTGTGCAACAGCGGAAGCTATTGCATGGCCCTACCACAGTTGAGTGTCTAAAATTGGGCTGAGATAATAAATTTTATTGATATTGGAACCACAACGGACGAGTTCGTGTAGCAATTGTAGTCTTCATGGTCACATTACCATTATTAATTAACGGTAAAGCTTAATTAAAATTTACAAGTCGATTAGTAACATCCAATTTATTTTTAGTAATGTAGTTTCGCTCGAAGGTTATGAGGTATAGATGAAGCCATGTCCGCGTCCTTCTCCCCACTTCCTATAGCAAATTTCCGTAAAGGGAACGAAATTATTCCATCTAAATGTCACACATCCAGAACTATGCGCTATGGTGAGTTTAGCTTTGCGACTGCCTCCCTTGACAAAATGACAATAATAATATAATATATTTTATTGTACAACAAAAAATAAAAATAAAAAAGTACAAAAACAAAATATTTGTCAAATATTGGTCATCAAAAGGCGGCCTTATTGCTACACAGCAATTTCTTCCAGAAATTTCTGTGTAACAGAAATCTTCTGACTATGATATTAATCGCTTCGCACACTATGAAGTGCAATTAAGTGCACTTTTTAAGGGGATCTTCTTCCATAAACGTTTAATGTAAAAGTGTGTTTACATTTAGAGAGGGAGTTTGTAACTGCTTAGTTCGCTTCATGTCTGTTGAGTTTCAATATAAAGTACCTGGAGGACCGAGCTTGGCTCGGTTTTTTTGGTAAATCATGTATTTTAGATAAAAAAAGAAAGAAAAAATAAAGAAAATGTTCTGGCATAGAAAAATAAGTAAAAGCAAAAAAAATAAGCGTGTAAGTGATCGTGATACGAACCGTGGCCGTCTGTTTTGTGGCCGTCCGATTACCGACCGAGCTATTATAATTTTTTTTTGCGGCGGAATTTACTCGAATGATATTTTTCATTCCCTGAAAACAGGGCATTTTCTAAAAATGAAACCTAGGTAGATCGATTTTTCGCCTCCGAATCTACGCACATACTAAATTTCATGAAAATCGCTGGAGCCGTTTCCCAGATTTCCGATTATGTATGTATACAAGTATTGCTCCTTTAAAGGATAAGATTATAGAACTTAATACACTAAAGAAATTGAAATACGACAGCTTCTATTAGAAAACTTTAGAATAATATAACTGTTTAGCCTTTTCAAGTATTTCAATGTTCTCCTTTCAAAACACGACTTTCTTAAAAAATAGCTTTCAATCTTTTGAAATCTTTTGAATCTTTTATATTGAAAAACTTTCACAAGACCTTTATAAAACTATTGCCGTTCCAAATGCAACTCTTCATTTGTGTAAAAAAAAATATTTATTGTATTTGTTTTTATTTCGGCGTATTACGAATTCGAACTAAACGATTGTGAAAGAAAACTTAAGGATGAATACGTTAAAGTTTTGACAAACATTTCAGTTACAAATACTGAAATAAGAACTCATTCTTGCTACACAGAGGTTTTTTTTTTTTTTATGTGAAAAGTTGCCAAACGAGCTGACGGTTCACCTGATGGTAAGTTAATACCGCCGCCCATGAACATCTGCTACACCCCAGGGTTGGCAGATGCGTTGGCAACCTTTTTGGAAATTGGGCTCCGGCTACCTCACTCACCAGACGAAAGTATTTCTCATACTTCCACTTTACGCCGGTCTTCTGTGAGGTCGTGGTACTTACCGGACGAGCCTGCCCATTCGTGCAACAGCCGAGGCTGCTGCGTGGCTCTACCACCGTTAAAATATTATAAGAGATTACAATTTTCCATTTTTTACGCACCATACATGTCGGTGATGAGGTGTTCTCGACACCGTCCTCAATCAGTACATCACTAAACTATCGATAAAAGTTTGCACGGGATACTACGAACTTTTACTCTTCGAGGCATATTTTCTTCAGTCGTCACTTTTTTAAGGAACGCAAATATTTTTCTTTAAACGTACTTTTTCTTTATATCAAGGTACAAATCGTCTAAATGTCACCTGGACGCGAAATCAGAAGACGCAAATTCGAATCCCGCATTGCCGAAAGTTTTTGTTTATTTAATTTACAAAAATTTACAATTTAAAGGTACATATTGTTTGTTTTTTTTTTCATTTTCTTAATAACTAACTACTAATAAAGATAACACTGTTGAAATTGACTTTAAATTACTTAAATATGAATAATCCATTTGTGAAACAAATAATAGAATGAATAAAACATATCGATACTTGTTGTTTACGCACAACACTATAATTTAATTCGGTTGCGTACTAAGTTCAGCCCGAGTATTGAGAATTTCCAAGTAACAAAAGCTTTTCCATCTTGCGTTGGTTAATTGTCCTTTTAAACATTTTGGTGTAAAGTTTTAAATTAAAGGCAAGAGGGCAATTTTACGTTTAATTAGGGCAATTTTGCCTTTAATTAAACGTTCATATGAACTACAAGGTCTCATTTGTGTGTTACTTCAGTTAACGAAGAGGTCGGTATCTGGCTTTTGGGTGATGTCCTACGAGCGAAAATATTAAATACGCCAACTCAAAAATGATAATGTATGTAAAGTCGTTGTAATATAATTTTTAGCAAAAAAAAAACCGACTTCAATCTGAAAATTTATTAAAAACATTGTTAATGCCTATAACATTCAATGATGGCCCTCGATTTCTCTGGGATGCCATCATCAGATCCAGGTTTCCTTACCATGGTGCCACCCTTGGGATATCTTCTTTACGACAAAAAAGAATCATCAAAATCGGTTCATAAACGAATTAGTTATCCGCGAACACACATAAAAAAAATAAAAATATATACGGCCGAATTGAGAAACCTCCTCCTTTTTTGAATTCGGTTAAAAATAATAAATATTATAGTTGACTCAGCCGTTTTAATGATGAATTATATTTCATCAATAGCTGCATAAGCCATTCTATAATGAAGTATTAGGGAAGTTCTGGGGTTTCGACAAAAACACGTATGAAAAATATCGTGTAGAAACTGAATACTATATATAATATAATATTTAAGGTGATCCACATTTTTAAACCTAATGTGGTAAATCTGATAGGGTAGCTGAGGAAATTAATGTTAAATACGACACATAAACTATAGGTAACTGAAATACTGGAAAATCTATTATGGGCAACGCAAGTATTTCTGATTGGGATTTACACAAGACATATCCATATATCTTCTGCATTTGAACACACTATGAATATTCTACGCCAAGTTTCCAAACAGACACTGTCGAGTCGATGAACAGAAGTGAATATTTAATTTCAAAATCGTACTAGAAAGAGAAAGAAAGAAAGAAAGAAAGAAAACATTTATTGCTCAAATACGCCACATGTACATTTAAACCATAAACAAAAAATACATACTAAAAAGAAGAATAAAAAAATATTAAATACATTACACATTTTACGCACTTTTTTGTTACTACAGCAAGGTTGCTTTTGGACTCGCTAGGTAAGCCTGTTTTGTACTGTTGCTCTCTTGTTCTCCGATGTAGTTTTTGAGTTTCCAACAAATTTCAAAAACGGAGAAGGTTCTCGATTCGACTGTATTTTTTTTATATGTTTGTCACCTCTGAACTTTCGGACCGACTTTGATGATTCTTTTTTTTATTTGCAAACTGGTGCTTACCATGTGGTCTCATATCTAATTTCTTTAGTATTGGATCTTGGCCTCCGGAGATACGTAGGGAACTCGTGAAAATCAATTATAAAATGAACACAGAGCGAGATATTCGAGGTCGGTTTTGTTTTTCGTTGATAAAAAAAATGGACTTGTTCCATGTCATTATAACGTTTTTCTCCGGCGGCTCTCAAGGTTGAAAAGGCGAGGAGTTATTGTCGTCGCTCTAAAAGTAAATAACGCGGTGGTGCTGAATTAATGAGGCTTTTAACATATTTCAACCGCGTCGCGTCTCTGTAATAAATTCGCCTTTCTTAATTAGAGGCTTAGAATAAGAGAGTACGGGAAGATTATTTTAACGAAGAAGCCTCGTTCGTGCCGTGAGAACATTGAGAATCTTTCATATAGTTTATATCTAATACTTTAAACGATTAAACGAGCAACGTCGGGATAATGTCGTTTTATCCGTGTTTTTAGCCAATGAAAAATATGATGAGACGACCCGAATGGCGTAGAGGGTAGTGTACCTACCTCCTGCGTCAGGTGTGGGTTCGTTCCCCGCTACTGGAAAAATATTGTGTGATGAACATAGTGTTTTCCCACTGTCTGAGTGGTTATACAGGGAGGCTTTTTAAGTGTATCCAATTTTATTACATTCAAGACTATGTAATATAAAAAATGATAAATATTTAAAATCACTCGTAATTGATTAAATACATTCATTTGAACTTATCCCAAAAAGTGCGTTATTTATAGGCAACTCACTTATTTTACGCGCGATCATTCATAACTAACACGCACACAAGTTCGTTTCAAAAGTATACGACGCATTTATGAATGACTACTGCATTGTCAACAAAATAAATGGAAAGTTATTTTAAAAAA